GACTCAGTGAATTGTTTCTATTGAGCGAAAGCAACTGCGGCCTGGCGCAGTCTGGAAATGTCTCCGACAAGCCAAAACGGGATGTCGTACGTCCCCCAATCCTCCAGTCACAACATCGCAGCTGGCAACACCTCTCCTTCGACAACCACAACATGTCTTTCACTTCGCCCTCTTGATATGCCCTCCGACTAAATGAATTCGGTGTGACAATCGACAGTGATCTGTATTTACTCTTGCCCTTGACTGTTTCTGCCTCTGCAACCCGGAACGGTTCTACCTTCACCATGCGCCGGTGGGTGCCTTCACTCGGCCTCCTGGCGTACCTAGCCGCCATTGTCGCCGGAGATGAAGTTCAAATCGTGAGATTAAGGGGGGCATCTTGTTGCGCAGTGCTCTCCCCGCTGACAATCACTAGAAACAAGACGACGAACACCGCCAGCGGTGTTCAGGGATGTACAGTCGGAAATCTTGGGGCGGATCAATAGATCCTTTCATCCTCGTCAAGTTCCTCCCGGACCAAACCGAAGACGAAACCGACCCGATCGCAAGCCTCATAATTTTCGAGTGGCAGGATGAGCCGTTGATAGGCAGGATGCCGCCTGGCGGGGAGTCCTACCGAGACCTCCAGACAATATGCACCACGGACGCTGTGGCACAAGGGCTATGTGAAGAGAAGGATGTAGGCGCTTTCATACTGGCCCCCAATGCCACAGAGGCCTCAAAGAGTCCGATCTCAAACGAAGCAATCCATTTGAAAGACCCGAAGGCCATCAACTATCCGATCCGTCGGACGGGCTACTACTGCGTCTCGACGTACGCTTTCTCCGATCACGAGTACAACGGTGTGGTGGAGTTCAGGAACGCATATGGTGAGCTGCCGGCAGCTCAAATAGCTAAACTCCCATTCTACGGCGGCCTCACCATTGTCTACGCTGTGCTGGGGGTATTTTGGGCTTTCCTCTATTTCCAGAACCGTTCCGATATCCTCCCAGTACAAAACTACATCACGGCCATTATCATCTTCTTGATCGTCGAGCAGCTGATGACATGGGGATTCTATGACTATCAGAACCGTCACGGTAACAACGCAGTCAACAAAATATTCATGATCATCGTTTCGATCCTCAACGCTGGACGAAACTCCTTCTCTTTCTTCCTCCTTCTGATTGTTTGCATGGGCTATGGGGTGGTGAAACCGTCCCTCGGCAGGACAATGATCTACGTCCGCATTCTAGCTGCCGCACACTTCATCTTTGGAGTTATCTATGCCATCGCGTCCATGGCCGTCACCCCCGAATCTGTCGGTCCCCTCATTCTCTTCGTCGTCCTACCACTCGCAGGTACCATGACAGCGTTCTATGTGTGGACACTGTCGTCTCTCAATGTCACCATCAAGGATCTTATCGACCGCAAGCAAAAGACGAAGGCAATGATGTACAAGAAGCTCTCCTGGTGCATTCTGGGAAGTGTGCTGGTCATTTTTGCCTTTTTCTTCATCAACAGCTTCGCGATTGCCGGGTCAGGGGCCGCGAATTTTGTGCCAGAGCATTGGCAGACCAGATGGTTTGTACTAGATGGATGGTTGAATCTTGTGTATTTGTTCAATATTGCTTTTATTGCATATCTGTGGAGGCCAACGGCGAACAATCGCCGGTTTGCCATGAGTGATGAAGTGAGTTTTGTCATGCCCCTTTTGTCTCAAAAGTGGCCGCTACAAGAAGAAGACAACTCAGCTGATATATTTTTGCTTTGACAGCTCGCCCAAGATGACGACGGTTTCGAAATCCGCAGCATCGCGGACTCCATCGATGATGATGACGAGGAGGCTGCCAACGCACGAAAGGATCAAGAAAGAGCAGTTCCCCCCTCCGGAGGCGGAGCGGCGACCTCGATCACGGACACCATCGCTCACGAACCTTCTGGAGCGAGGAGGCCTTCCCCAGCACCTGCGCTCCAGAATAGTACGCAAGGAGCACCGCCTTCCAAGCCTCCCAATCCGCCGCAACCGAGGATGTCGTTGGATGGCGAGACAATCTTTGCCGTCGGCGACGATGGGATTGAATGGAGCGAAGGGGAAGATGAAGACAGCGATGACGAGAGAAAGAAGTTGACCGGTAAATGAGGGAATGGCGGTTTTTCGAATTGCCAATGGTTGAACTCGGTCCACTCCCTCGGATGCTTGAATGCTTACATGGGGCTTTTCACTTGGGGCATTTGGCACCCCTGAGCTTTGGCAGCAGCGTTACGTTTAAAAACCCGGAGAGGGAGGGGGTAATCGCTGGGATGCCGGTGACTTTGCAATACAGCTTGGTGGTGGGCGGGCAGGGCAGGGCAGGAAGGGAGTTGATGGATTCGCACATTCGACACAAATTTGTAATATGATGACTTGTCTGTGCCCCAGGGTTATGGTCTTGGTGCAGACTCGACGCGCGACACTGGAAGCGACTCCTTTGTCTCTTCCCGAGCTGCTACATGTGATATGAATCCGTTGTGGCCATTCCTAGCTTCGCTCTGCCTTTTCGTGGGCAAGGAGTCTGTGAATCACTTTACGAAGCACGCGATGACAAGAAGGGGAAAGGAGGGCAGAAGAGAAACAGGCCCTGCTTGTTGTCTGAGGAGCTGTAAATGTATATCTAACTATTGGTAGCATTGGATGTGTCAATGTGTCGAGCGATCTCAGTTGCAATGCCAGCTTGTCGTGGATGCGTCGTGGATAGGGTGCTATTGTGTTATTGTCGGGTTTGATATAGCTGTCGTTGACGACGCGAGAAGTTCCAGCCCGTTCGTGCAATGCATGCGATTCATGCGATTCATTCATGCCAGCGATACGGGCATAGGAAACGATCCTTCATGCAATTTCAGCCGCCCAGCTTCTTCGCACGATCCTTCGCGATATCGCACATGGCCTTTTGGCGGGAACAGAAGGCGTTAGTTTGGATGACTTGACTGAGGCTACACGGTTTCACGAGAGCAGTACTGCCTACCTTGATTGCCTCTTGCTTTTCCAGTTGGATGTCGCCTCTGTCTATTCGCTGCTGCATGTCTTCCATGATGACGGGGCGACTTCGTCCATTCACGAACACTCTGTTGTTCTTATCAGCAGTGACGAAGGGCATGAAACTGCCGAGTCAAGAGAGTGGGAAGCCATACACATATCGCAGACCTGGAAACTTGTCTTCGTATTTCCGGTTCATGGTCGCCAGCTTCTCTGCCTCCTCCGTCCCGCCTTGATTCAGTTGCGCTTGCTCCTTGCGACTCTGCTCACTGTCAACCTTTTTCTCACCTAACCGCGGATGGGCGGCTAAAATGGCCTCTAGCCATTTTTGATCGCTCTCCAAATTTGACCGGAAGAGTCCCAGCAGCTGCTGGCCTACAGCATCAATGAGAGAGTCATAGGTTGGGAATGACTGTTCTCGCAGTAGGCTGACGGATAGTGTGTGCAGTTGCTGGCACGGCTCAAAGAGGATGTCGAGAATTTGTGCCCTTTGTTCGGCATCCAGTGTTGGGAGGGTTGACATTGGTGGAAGAGATGTCATCATGAGAGATGTCTCGTCACTTGGTCACAGCGCAGCCCAGGACCTCCAAACTCGAATGTAAAGAAATTTGTCGTGAAGGACTGTTCTGTGGAAAGGCCGTTGCGACTCAAAACAGCCCAACGTCATATGGAGTGCCCTTGTTGGCGCTTGTAAAGTGATCGGAGTCGGCCGAAACATTCGAAGCCGCTTCACGTGGATTGGCGTCGAATTCGCGAAAAGGCTGGATTGCCTTGATCGTCACGATTATTACAAAAATGGTCGGTCGAGTAGCAATAATGCGCCGTAGCCATCGACAACGGATGGCCCATGGTGCCACTTGTGCTCCAGCCTCTTCCCATTATTGCCTCCTGATACGCTTACTTGGGTGTGCAGCCACGCGAATAGACGGTGTATCAATAGTTCGCAGAGAAGGAGGGGCGGACTGAGACCGGCGATTCTGGGGGATCAGACATTCCTTGCAGCAACATCGAGCCACTCTGTGTCCATTATTCATCGAGCACCACATGTCCGAAGAGCACGGATTGTTGGGAGATTTTCTAGGATGCGAACGATGTCTTGTCGTTGACAATGAAGGGAACCAGGAAATGTCACGCTCAACGTATGAGTATTGCAGGAGAGGCTCGAGTCCAATTCCGCACTTTCGATATTGGCACATGCGAAAAGTTCCTGGGACTGTTTCAGAAAGTCCACAGCACTGGTTGAGACACATCCGCATGCTGTTTTGCAAAGACTGTGTAAGCCATCATTCTCGTCTTCTGCTCCGGAGTCAAGATCGGCTCTATACCCGTGGCAGTTGAGATTTGAAGCAGAGAGGATCGACGACAATTCGCAATTCAGGATTATCCACCCACCCTCCAGGGTTTGAATCTTCTGACAGACTTTCGCTTGTTTTACGTAGGAGAGAGGAAATTCAAACATGTGGAAAAAGGTATAGCGTCGGTCTCGGTTGCTTCCAGCCGCAGGTCAGGGCAGGGTTCGGGAAATTGGCTCGTGGAAACTGTCGACATGGGCGAATAAGGCTCTAGCATCGGCCGTTTGGTCGTGAGTTTCAGCGTTAAAGTCCGCTCCACCATCACGCAGAAACGGGGCACACCAGCTGGTGCCAGGGCACATTGGCCACGGACTGTCGGTCGGTGGGCTACCCTGGTCGCTTGGTCCGGTGCAGCAACACCCCTGAACTGCGGATAGCATGCTGCGCTGTGCCCCATTCGTAGAATGTCCTGCATCCTGCATGTGGGCTTCCCCTCGAAGCTGCATCTCTAAGCTGAGGGAGGGCTGTCCTGGTAGTTGCTCGCCGTTGGCGTCGGGCCCATTATTGATTTCGAAGGGCTGCCCTGATCGCCTCAAGCCTTGTTCTCCTGCGTCTTTTGGTCTTTGTAAAGCCTCGCGCCCAAATCCTGGACTGTATGAGAACCGATTCCAAAACGTTGCGCAGGCGTGGGCCTTCTCAATGAGGGCTGAGAAATGTCATTGAATGGACTTGATGGAGCTGCAGTCGCTGATGCACACCAGGCTGCTCAGGCGGACGCAGGAGGATGGTATGTCGCGCACTTCACCGCCGCTGTGCTTCCTCGTGCTTCTGCGCAATCCGTCTGCCGTGACGCCTGCTTACATGGACCAGGTTCTTACTGAAATATGTCAATCGCGACACCGTTGAACTGTTGAGCAAGGGAACAGGGGGTGTGCAGGCTGTGCGTGGAGTGATTGAGCAATATGCAGAGAAATCGCCGCTGTACGGGCTGGTGCAGTATCGGCGCAAGAAAGTGGTCCTCAAATATGTGCCAGAAGGAACATCTCGATTGCTGCAAGGTGGGTGAACATCGTGGCCCTGGAAGAGATTCTGACTGACTTGCTTCACCCGCTACAGTGCGGCTCACCGTGCAATTTCAATCGGTCCTGGAAACCTTCACACCACATGACACCGTCTTCTCCTTTGCCACGGCCTCTGAGTTAACAGAGTCCGCCCTCGGACTTTGTACTATGCTATTACCCTCTGCATCTTCATTAACCTCGTCAAGCTCCTCCCTTCGACGGCGCCGACTCAACGAAATTACCGAAGATGCTGAAGACGATGTGTCAACAGTTGAGGAGGAGAAGGAGGAGGAGAACGTTGGGCTTGCCCTTCGCTTCACATCGCAAAAGCCAGATGAGTTGCCGATGGTGACATCGACACCGGACACAGTTTTCGGGAGACATGAACTAGATGAACTTCCGGCAAGCGCAGTTCTTGCAAAAGCTCTTCTGGCAAAGAGGAAGGAGGAGGCTGCTGCCGCCACCGCCAACAACAACAGCAACAACAACAACGATGCTGGTCCTCCCTCTGTATCAGATAAGAACATTCACCCTCCGCGGAAAGAAAGTCTGCTCACATCCCCCAAACCGCCGGCTTCACCACTACCCTCACCACTACCTCCCTCCATCATCGACAAGGAGCTCCCCGCGACCCCCGAACCGACTCCTCCTTCTACGAGCGAGGGCGAAGGTCCTAGAGCTCCAGATTTCGAAGCAACCAGCAACATCCTCCTCGAGACCACTACAGCAACGGCAGACGCCTCCAACCCAACAACTCCTCGTCCTCACGCTCGTCACCTTTCGGCCGCCGAATCTGACAGCATCAGCCAATGGAGTAGTAACGTCGCATCGTATACAGCAGGCAAGCCAAAGAAGAAAAAATTGGGTCCGCGTCCTCACGTTGAGACAACTCACCGACCTAAGACGTCCGGAACAACAGACAGTGGCACAGGAATACGGCCAGTGGCGAATCTTCCAACTTCTATCCGTGTGAACAACAAGTCTCTAGTCAGCCTGGGGATTCGCCCAGGCTCTCAACAGTCGAGTCGAAGCGTACCCGGCCGTTTTGTTCCTTCCAGTCAGTCTGTGAATGGTGCGCCACCTCTGCCGTCGCCGTCTTACCTACACGCACCATATAATGCGGGGGATAGTCGCTCTGCGATCCTCCGGCCATCTTCTGTGACTAGCGATGTGTCGACCAGCACTCCAGAAAAGCTAAGATTGATGAAGGCTTTACAATTGCGGAAAAGGAACATGCTGCTTGCCCAAAGAGCAGCCACGGTTGCAACACCCGTCCTTTCAAATACATACCTTCACAATGCGTCGGAGTCGAATGCGAGCGCCAATGGATCGAGTACTCGTCTATCATCGATTCCAAGTCACGAGCAGCTGTCAAACGTCGATGAGGAGACGAAGCTGACTCAATCATCTTATACAACATCGCCGACCATCATGACAAATATTTCGGAAGAGCCTTCGACCCAAGCCTCTTCCGTCAGCGAACACGATGATTGTTCTCGTACTCGCCGCTCTTTATCATCGGCCACAAGCTCCTCTCTCACTCCAAAAGCTTTCTCGCAGGAAGACAAAGCCCCAAGTGCGTCTGATGTGGCTTCGATCGACATAAAGCCATCAGCTAGTTTGGGCATGGCGCCTTTCGACAAGGACGACAAGGATGATTCCAAGACTGAGGTTGATACAGCACCTGCTGACATGGAAGCCAAATCAGTTATTAGAATTGACGGTCTCGTCCCAGAGAGCAGGCCTGAACCAAACTCGGACACTCAGCCCCGACCTTCTAATCCACCGTTAAAACAGGATGAAGATTTGCCAAAGAAATCTGGTCGCTTAGGACCTCCACAAGCCCTAAAACTCTTGCCAGGTGGCAATGCGTCTGCATCAGATCTCTCGGAAGATGATTCGTTAATAGACGAGATCCAGCATGCTACCGTCCATGAAGCTATGCCGGTCTCAGTGGCTCGGTCGCCAGTGACCCCAATAATGTCCAAGGGAAGTTCAGATCGTCTACGTGAGATGGTTGTCAAACCGCCGAACTCCAGTCATTCCACAGGGCGGCCAAATCTTGTAACAACACCTGATGGAAACCGACCCAGCAGTGGCAGCGTACGAAGCATTTCGACTGCTCTTCCACAGTGGCCACCTTTGCCTACAGAGTCAGCTCAACTACCACTTACCAAAAAGGCTACCCTCGGAACAGGTATCTCTAAACGCATCAAGGCCCTGGAAGTGCTGAGGACGAAGGACGCAAGTCCCCCACGACACCCTCAGCCAGTCCGAGAGACGCATGCCGGAACCTCTGCCTTCTCGGCGTTCATGAAGCGCTCATCATTCTTGACACAGCAACAGCCTCCAAACGCCTCGACCGAAAACTCACCTCCTCGGCACCTACCCACAGCAAGCAGTCAATATGAATCACATCCATCGGCCGCGGTGAAAGAGCCACGACGTCCGTCGTCAGATGTGCACAGGCTACAGAAAGGCGAGACGATTTCTGTTACCGCAAGGATTGTTCGTGATTCTAGCAATAAGCATCCCCCGTTGGCTCCAAGTTCTAGTTACAATACTCCCCTCAATCTGTACCGGAGTCCTCTAATCGTCGAACACGAGAAGTCCGACCAGCCGACCTTGGATCAGGCACTGGCTTCGAATCAACCCAGGGTCAAAAGCCCCACCAAGTCGGAGAGAGGGCGATTCTCCTTTTCCTCCCATCGGTCAAATTCTCATCCAACCTTGCCTCGGTCTGAGTCGAATACCAGCAAAGTGTCCAAATCAAGCCACTACAGACGGCAAGGTCCGCGGTCAACCAGTGACGCAGCATCAATTTCCGAGGACAAACCGAAGTCTTCAATGACAAGCAGGCTCATGAAGCGGATGTCGAATCTCGCAAATGCGCGGAGCAGGAATCAGCTGACGACAAAAGAAGAGGCCACTCAGTCCCAAGTAAATCTTGCGCGAGAACAACCTGACTTCACTCCGGAGGATTCGATAGCTGAGTCATTGATGCATGTTGTCGACATTGGGGACGTCAACGTACAATTCCCAGAGTCATTCCTATGGAAACGGCGTTTCATGAGGATCGATGACCAAGGATTCCTGATATTTTCTCCACCGATGAATGACGCCAACATGAAGAGTGTTAGTCGTAAATACCATCTCAGCGACTTCAACCGGCCATGTCTACCTGACCTTGAACGCGAAGAGATGGCGTGGAGTATCCTACTCGATCTGAAGGATGGGAGATGCGTGCAGTGTGCATGCGAGAGTAAACAGGCTCAGCAACAAGTATTACAAAGTAAGTCCCTAGTGCTCTGTGTCATTTGGTAAGGTCACGACTGACTCTCTCCCGCAGTGCTCGTTGACGCACATAGCGCATATCACCAGTTATACGGAGCTGGATGATGAGGAACAGCAGGATCCAGTCCAACAGGGCGAACGGCAATCATGACCATCAATCAATTGTTTTGCATAGTTGTTGATGTTTGAACGGCAAGCAACAAGCGAAGGCGAGGGACGGCGTTGGGATGCTGTGAGAGAACAAGTGTCTCTGATTCTCATTGAATTTCTCGTCGGGCATTTTTACGAGAGAGTACAATCTATGTATGAGTACATACCCGCCTTAAACTAATGTCTGTACCAAGAGAGACGCTGAACTCTCGAACGAGTCCTGGCCGTTGAACATTGTCACAAACTGTTGTGACCCATTTCGCTGTACTCGAGTGAAGCCTGGGTAATCACACGCTCGACCGGAGTATGTATCCATACATTTATGCTGGGGTCGCAAGGAGAAATGATGATTGGACCTTTACGGGACAAGGCTGAGTTACAAGGACAAGTGGCTTTTCAGCCTCGAAAAGGGGGCGCAGGCGCAGGGGGCAGGGATGCCAGACGCGGATTTTTAAGCAATTGAAATAAAGTGGCGTCGATCGTATATATCCTGGCCAACAAGTCCAAGCATTCACACCATTCCTCCATCTTCCTCTGTCGACCTCTTCCCATCTCGCAATCTACGTCCACTCGAGTTCCTTGTACCACAACCCTCCACTCGATACAGCGCCACAATGGTGCAACTCCGCTCCCTCCTCCCGCTGGCAACGCTTGCCCTGCCCCTCCTCACGGCGGCCTCAGATGTGATCAATCTGATTCCTTCGAACTTTGACAAAGTCGTATTCGAGTCCGGGAAGCCTGCTCTCGTCGAGTTCTTCGCCCCGTGGTGCGGCCACTGCAAGAATCTCGCTCCTGTCTATGAGGAGCTGGCCACGGCCTTCGCAGCGTCTGGGAACAAGGTGACGATTGCGAATGTTGATGCCGACAAGCACAAAGACCTAGGCAAGAGATTCGGTGTCCAGGGGTTCCCAACATTGAAATGGTTTGATGGGAAGCCCGGCTCCGAGCCCGAGGACTACAATGGCGGCAGAGATCTCGAGAGTTTGACGGCCTTTGTGACTGAGAAGTCTGGTGTCAAGGGCAAGGGACCGAAGAAGGCACCAAGTCATGTTGAGATGTTGACGGACACGACGTTCAAGTCGGAAGTCGGAGGGGATAAGGACATATTGGTCGCTTTCACGGCGCCTTGGTGCGGACGTATGTTGGCCCCTTGAGAGTATCGGCGATTGGACGGTGCATGCTAATCTTTGGCTTTCAGACTGCAAATCTCTTGCTCCGACCTGGGAGAAGCTCGCCACCGACTTCGCCAATGAGCCCAACGTCCTGATCGCCAAGGTTGACGCCGAAGCCGAGAACTCGAAGGCCACCGCTCAATCCCAAGGCATCACCGGCTACCCGACTATTAAATTCTTCCCCAAGGGCTCTACGGAAGCAGAACCCTACAGTGGTGCTCGCAGCGAGGAGGCTCTGGTGGACTTTGTCAACTCCAAAGCTGGCACCTATAGGGTTCCTGGTGGTGGGCTGAACTCCCAGGCTGGGACTATCGAAATCATCGATAACCTGCTTGCCAAATACATCACGGCCAACGGCCTGAAGGACATTGAGCAGGCGACGGCCGAGATCAAGAAGGCAGCAAAGGACCTGAAGGACACATCGGTCGACTACTATCTGCGGGCCCTGTCCAAACTGACAGGAAACCCAGAGTACGCGATGAAGGAACAGACGAGACTGGCAGGTCTGTTGAAGAAGGGCGGCTTGGCCCCAGAGAAGATCGATGACCTGCAGAAGAGGAGCAACATTCTCTCGAAGTTCTTGGTCAAGGAGCCAGAGCCGAAGAGCGAGTTGTAAGTAACGAGAAACGATTGCGTGGGAACACTCGCGATATCACGGGCAGATTGAGCAAAAAGCACAAGGGTCTGCAGGCAAAATGGATGTGTAAATTGACCACCATTAGAGGAGTTTAAACAAGGCTTTGATGGGTTTCCAGCTTTTATCCACGTGTGTTTTTCGTCGTGCCACTTGTTGACCTCTTTCCAACCATCGTTGGATTCGTGTAGTTCATCGAGAAACCCGGGTTGGCTTATCTTCATATCCTGAGCCACTTTGTTCGTGATCCGCGCCTTCAAGACATGCAAGATATCTCTGTTGTCCCATGTCAATCTCGAGGCTCCGGTTCGGTCATGGTACTCTTATCACGCACGCATCGAAATCCCCTTCTGGCTCTATCCGCTTGTCGTGATAGTCCTTATGTATGTTGCTGGCTGCCAAAAATCGCTTTCGACCAACATCAGCTCGACCCGGCCGTACTCCCTGCCTTCCCACCGCTGACGTTCTCCATGGCGCTCGCGTCCCTCAACAGCATCTCCTGCTCGAGCCGGTCACACCGCTCGGCCATGTCGTCCAGCTTTGTGAGGATCTCGTCGCTGATGCCCTTGAACTTCTTCTCCAGGTCGCCCAGGAAATCGTCGATCGCCTCGGCGAGCTTCGTCGCTGCCTCGTTGGGACTGTGAAGGTTGTCTGTTGCACCGCCGCCGCCACTACCGGGGGGGCCGTTTGACGCTGCTATGGTGGTCGTGGCGGTGGAGGAGGCGTGATACGAGTGCGAGGAGGGAGGCGGGCTTCCTGCGCCTCGCGTCGAAGGTGGGCTGGGGAGGGACTATATTTCAAGGAGGGTCAGCATAGGCAGGGAGGGTATCGCAGGCTGGTCGTCCAGTGCAGGAAGCTGTATCGAAAGGGCAGTCTGTCTGTACGAGTGGTTTCTTTCGCAAACTCACCATAATATCCTACAGTGATGTTTGGCCCTTTTTTATTTCACTTCAGGAGAGTGAATTGCCCACACGTATATACTTGTACGCACACCAATCCAGAAAAGCGGCTCAATTCACAATGGGATACATCCCGGAGTGAGCGCGACAGCACGCTTTTTCTAACGCACCAGCGCTCGGTGGAGGGTTCGAGGATCGAGAAGTGAGGAGATGTGCCTGCAGTCTATGACCGACGTGTATTTAATTGATTTTGGAGAGGTGTGAGAGAGCCTCGAAACGCAGCGCTTTGGGTTTGGGGAAATTGGCCCGAAGTTCAGGCGGTCAGTCTGTCAGTCAGGACGCCAGCACCCAACCACAACCCAGGAGTACCGAATACTTCGACTCTCTGCTGCTTACCGACTATTTACTTGGTACTTCGTATGCGTCTGCACTCGCCGTACAAGGGAGACTGAGACGCTCCTGCGTCCGTCTCTCACGTAGCCAGAACCCACGCTGGATCTCCCTCATTGACAGAGCTGGAGAGTTGTATCCCCACCGAGTCTCGTGCTTCAGAGATATCGCACAAGAGAAAGCTAAATAACTTCACATGTCCAGCCTGAAGAGGTTTGAATCGTCGGTGAGGTCCAGAGTTAGGCTGTTGTTCATATACACTCCACGAGTCTGCTCCACATTCCACCATTTTCCACTCCAGCGTACTCTGTTTTAAGGGGCTCTGGGAATGCTACTCCGCCTGCGCTTGGACTTCGAGCCTCTTTCGACATAATTGTTTGACTGCGTATTGTCCCTGCCCTGGAGGCTGAAGGCTCGGCAACTAGGCAAGCTGAAGGAACGTCGATAAAGTTGATGAGTATGGATGGTATTGCGCCCGACGCGAAAGCCGTTATGATCATGTTTTCGAGTTCAAGGACTGGCCTTTCGCTCCATTAGCCTTTATGCTCTCAGGACGCCTCTGTCCTGCTTGAGGAGCCTAGCAATGAGCAAAGTCCCGCTGAGCATTCATCGCTACTACCTTGAAGACACACTCCGACTCGACGACATCATCCTGACCACCTACGTCTCTCCTGTGTCCTGTACTTCTACTGTGCAAGAAACATCCCCACCTCGCATATCCTACGTGACATTTGCCAGGAACCTACAAGCCTGTCTGAGGCATCGAAGTTATGGCCAGCTACCTGCCCCGGGCAGATTTGGCTTCAAGATGACCACGCCAACCGGTATATTGGCGGGACGGGGAACAAGATTCAAACTAACTGCGGGAATGGGGCGATCAAGTGGGAAATCACTAGTCTATTTCGACAGCCGCATGAGATGGAGCAACCAGCAAGCATATTGACCAGCACAGTTTGAGTGTTCACATGAGGAGACCATAGCCTCTAAAGGGCGTCTGTTTCATCACGAGTGAGGGAAGACAAGGTCAGTGGTGCGTGATTACTAGCTAGGTAGTCTCGTGCGCAAAACCTACTGTCCATCCTCCCCTTGAGGTACCCCGGCTGGATATTTCTTCAGAAGGAGGATCGTGGCTTGTATAGTGCAGGAAGATCAGACATGGACAAATTCTCGAGGACGAAAGTTGGGATACCCCAGAAGTGGTCATTCCTACTGAAGTGTTCCTATCCAGTTTACCCTAAGGGCTGCTCCATCTATTTCGGATCCCCGGTACAGGGAGCGTGTAATTTCGTATTTCGTATTCGCTCGTCCCGATGGCCATTCTCCAAAGTTCCACAGTTGAACAGGCCTGGGGTATTTTGCACGGCTAAAACCACAAAATGAAGACGTCGCTGCGTTGGAAGTAGCGTTCACCCCATGAAACTATAGAAGCGAAATGCAGACAGTACTTCCAAATCCTTTCTATGCCTGCCGTATTTTCTTGAGATGAATGAGTTCGCCTCGACCCTTCCACGTTAGTCCTTGTAACTGATTCCAAGGCGGAAATACTTACCGCATCATTATCCTAGCTTTTGCTTTGCTTGACTTTGCAGAGAATTCAACACCTTATTGAGTTCTGCATCCTTGTCAACGGCGCTGGTATCAAAAGACGCGGTGACAAGCTGGCCGTGAGTAGAATTTTTCTTTGCCCGTTGTGGCCTGGAGGGCGTGTTGTCATCCATCAACAACGAGCGCAACTTCCATCTTTCAAGGCCTTCAGCACCGCCCCTCTTGTGCTATGCCATCAGAGTCAACCGCCAGTTTACCTTAACGGGTGCCGTCGTCGCACAATCCGGACGATAGCCTTGAGCAGAAGAGATCGTAAGTTCAACCTGCTGTCGCTACAGCCTTTTGGTCACTTGAATCTCTAATTCTGAGACAGGCTTTGATCCTTACGCGTATACGAGCGGCCGATGGCTCCGTGGCGACGAGTTAGAGCGCAGCGCTCGACATATCACCTTTGATTTCGACGCCCTCTGTCAACGAGTTATTGAGTTGTGTCCAGGGGCAGCGTCGATCTCGAATTGCGAGAAGAAAGAAGGAGGGTTCAACAGAGTTTTTATTTTCACCACCGACAATGGACAGAGTATCGTCACCAGACTTCCCTTTACACTTGCCGGACCACCAAGATTAACGACTCAGTCAGAAGTCGCGACTATCCATTACAGTAAGTCTACAGACTATACGGGGGTTATGCAACTAATTCTTCGATCCGGCATAGTACAAGCAAACACTAGTATCCCTATTCCAAAAGTCCTCGACTGGTGCGATGACGCCTCGACATCAATTGGGACCGAATACATAATCATGGAACACGCTGATGGAGTCCAGCTACATCAAATATGGCCTAACATGGCAGGAGAACAAAGAATTCGGTGTATCAAGGCTATCGTTCAAAAGATCAAGGAAATTGCGAATGTGGAATTTCCAGCATACGGAAGTTTATATCATGCCACCGCTCGTCTCAGCTCTGCTTCAAAGGTTCCACTGAATCAAGATTTCTGCATTGGCCCTCATTGTGGGGCAATGTACTGGAATTGCAACCCCATTGAGCCTAGATATTACCAAAATACGAAGCCTAATCAGGGACCATGTAAGTGTATTCTACCTGGCGTATATCAATATCTGATGAGCCTAAGGGTCTGACGTCGTGGCATACTGCGACGGTTTGATCGATGCAGGTATTGCTAGGATCCCTCCTGATTCCGACCACCAGCACCGACTTCGATATCAGGGATCGCCATCTGATCACCTTCATATCCTTGACTCGGGCCGGTCTGTGATCAAGAAGATGTCTGAAAATTCACGAATCTTGAATGCGGCTGTTCCAACTCTCCTCCACCCTGACTTCCACAAGAGAAATATCTTCGTTTCGGAAGATGACCCCACCGTAGTCACTGGAATCATTGATTGGCAATCGGCTAGCGTCGAGCCAGCATTCTGGTACGCAGACCACATCCCGGACTTTGCGATGAGTATACCGGATCCCTTTGGCCAAAGGGACCCTGACAGTGAGCTATGTGCAAAAGCATTTGACGCTTGCGTGCAATTTCTTGTCCCCAAGTTGGCAGGTCCCCGTTCCCTAGATGAGTCCCTATTCCGGCCATTTCGATATTGCTATCGAACTTGGAAGGATGGAGCCGTGGCTTTTCTTCACGAACTCATTGAGACATCTCAGCACTGGACAAGCCTTGGTCTTCCAGGCTCATGCCCATTTACAACACCTACTCCTGAAGAACTTGTGATTCATCAACAATACAAGAGATTTGTGGCCGCGCAGGAATTGAAACGCGATCTGTCAGGCTTGCTCAACACTACCTCCGAGGGATGGGTCCCGTCTGAAGCCTGGGAAACGACAGTATTGGCATACAAGGAGATATTTGCAAACATGCTAGAAGCTGTATTAACCAACGCAGATCCTGATGACGATGAACCCATAAGAGATGAAAGTGATCTGAGGGAAATATGGCCATTTGATCTCAAGGATATTTACCCGCAGTCAAGGGAGCTCGGGAGGTCTGAGGCGTTCTCGGCGCCTAGACCAACCGCCGCTCTCTCGCACTGCCAGACCCAGGGTTACGAGGCTTAGGCAGCAACGTGAGGGCAGGCGATCTGCCAGGTCCCCTGGCGTCCGGCTGAAACAGATGCACAGTCGAGAGGCAGGTTTTGCCGGTTACGAGGGGCCTGATTAGGCACTCGGTGTGGTGCTCAGGGAGCCTCAGTGATGCTCAGCCAAAGGCTTAGGTAAATCTCAGGTTAAAGCAGCCTTCGCTCACTCGCTATGATCAAACCGCATACGGCAATTAGGTTTTTCGTTCTCGAGTAATAGAGGTATGTACCTCGTACTTTGGTAATGTGTGAGTGACTGCCCAAGTGGTGAAATTAGGCGGACTGATCAATACGGAAGGTCTTGTAAAATGCTCCCTTACTAAATAGGGCAACTTGGGGGCCACTAGGCACCTTTTAAGAAACTGTTAAGCACTTGTCAAGCATTGCTAAAGAGAATTAAAGCTTGTGACCCCGGATAGTCTAATCCAGCCACTTTTCCACCACATCCCAACTCACTTGATTCTCCCTCGACATCCTCCACTTTCACGAATGTCGACGCCCAAAGGTACGCTAGGATGAGCCCAAACCGGCTTTGCGCCTTTCAGCAGGTGGCACAGTAAGTCAGACTCCCCTCGAAGGTCGACCTACTGCGTCTGTTTGCCCTGCGTCCATGCCAAAGCTCAAGTTACGAGGCCGAGTCCAGAACATCCCGTGATGGTGTGCTGCCCGGGCCCGGAGACAGCATTGCGAAGGGAAATGGTTGCGCGATGGAGCACGAACCACTCGACATGACATGACTGGCCAGCCTAACGGCCTTTTCTTCAGCCTGGGGAAGGCGGATGCTTTCTCCTCCCACACATCTACTCGCTAACGTTGGGTGCTGCTCTACTTTCAGCCTGGACTGGGCCATTTCCGAAGCTGAAATGCAGCTTTAAGCCAGCCACAAACACCTTTGAGGATGTCGTCCATGGCCAGCCTACTGACCGATAAACACGTCGCCAATGCCTGAATAGCTTCACCCACCTTCACGAGTTGTCCAGTCCCTGCTTTTTCGTCTCTTTGCTGCTTTCGTCGGCTGTACGCTCCCTTCATGGACTGTTCTTCGTGCGGTTTTTGCGCAATCGCCATTTCCCAGTTGCCTTCGGCAAACTGGGTGTATGACCTCTCCAAAGTGGTCGAGTATGAATGACTCAAATACTCGCAGCCTGGCTCTTGCTTTGCGCTGTCTTTCGCGTTTTCGTGGTCCATCGTCTGGCTTCAGTAGGTCTGTATTCAAGTTTCCTGTATTGATTGCGCAGCATAATGGCAGCGATGCCACAGCAGCCTCAGTCCCCTACAAGGATCCCTCTTCTATCTGAAAGGGGTCTTGGGACACCTGCCACACAGACCAGCTCAGATAGCCCTCCCCCAACTCCCACCTCCCATCATGTGATCAAAGACAACATGGAGGGTGCTTTGCCCTCTCTGCTATGGGGGGCATTTGCACCTTGCGTCCCAGTGGCCATCATCTCCAGTGTTCTTTTAACTGCCATCCTGTACAACCAAATCGACAGCAGTTATGTCTTTCTTCCTGAGAAGCAAGAGACAGCCGCGACTGAAGGACTGGATACTTTGGACATTATCCAGCGAATCGAAAAGAATGGAGGCGATCATGCCTACTACTTATACTACAAGACCATCACCAATCCAGCTGTGTTGCACATGATATCTTCATGGACGGCCAAGATCATACCTTTCGTCACCGGTGCTTCCATGGCTCTTGTTGCCTTCTTCGCAGGACAACGCATTATGAAAGCTACTGCCAACAAATCCGAGAAGCTGCCGAGTCCTCACCAGGTATCCATCCTGATCGGACTGCTCAATGGAGGTGGAACCCAACCTCTGCTCGATGCTGTCAAGTATCGCTGGTATAATCATGAGACCCTTGTTCCACCAGTTCCTCTGGCCTTTTGGTGTTTGTCGTTCATTGTCTTCATGACGTGAGTCGCTCGTCCTATGTCGTTCCCCTGTGGATGGTACTAATTCTGCCACACAGCTTCGCCATCGGTGCAGTCGACAGCTGGTTCGGTACAGTCACCACGGCTATGAACATCGCATTGGTGATTCCCCAGAACAGCACAGCATTCTCTTTTGGAAGAGGTCTAAACTCAAGCCAGTGCGGACCAGGCGAGTGGCAGATACGGACCTGTCCCGGCAATGCTCAAGCAAGTTGCAGCTACCCCTGCAGCATCACGAACTGGACCGCGTCCAACGGAGAGCGTCAAGGTGTGCTCAATGCCCAACAAGCAGCAGAGACGCTGATGTCGAACTCTGAGAATAACACAATATTCAATGTCACAGTCAATGGCTCAAACTACTACTTTCTTGGGGATATCCAGAGCAGCAGGACGCTTGACTTTGCGGCAACAACGCTGGCGATCAAGACGCAATGCCAGATGGTGACACAAGACTGTAATGTCACATCCGTTGACGATCGCAGCTCCGGCTTCACCTGCGGAGCTTACAGCGCGCCATCCTTTTCATACTCCGGAGAGGTTGGCATGGACCCTAAGGATGCGACGTCAGCGCCAGACGAGGCGATGGTCGGCATTCAATTCTTCAACGACACGGCAAAGACTCAAGCTGTGGGTTTCGGAAGCAGCACCACCAACCTCTTCACCACGCAGAACCCACTCCAGTTTTTGACCTGGTCAAAGGGCTTCCCGCCAGTGGACACTTATCAGGACGAATTCGAAGATATGCGAAACGACCACTACCTCAAATATGATGCAACTGGTGACACCGTCTTCGTCCTGAGCTGCTCAGCAGTCATCGCCGAAGTGAGATACAACTGGACCAATGGATCAATAGGTCTTGTTGAGCTCCAGGCAGACGAGGATGTAGCAGACTACTACGGTGCCGTCTTTAGCGCACCGTTCGCCATCAACAGTCCACTGTCCCATCTGTCCCTCCAGGACGCCGCCGCGTTGGCAGCCTATCAGAAGACACCGGAGGGTCTGTCACGGATCTTTGCCGACCGTTTCTCCCAGGCCGCCATAGCCCTCAGTTCGGGAATCACCGTCAGGGTACAGAACGAGCTCGAGTGGACGAGAGACAACAATTACCTCGCAACGCGCGTCCCATATCTGCCTCTGTATCTCCTTGTGACGCTGAAAGCCGTCTACGCGCTGTTCGCATTGGGTCTCGCTGTCCTGGCGGTCTTCCTGACGCAGCCGTCGCAGGCGCAGGAAGTGAAGGAGCGGCTGACTGTCGACGGCCTCGCGGCGGGCTTCTTCGAACCCAACGCCAACCACGAGCGGGCGGTCAAGAACGTCAGCGACCTGTTCGAGGAACACCAGGACGGCGGCGAGAAGAGCGACGACACCAAGAAGATTGGCCTGTTGCGGACCGACAAGGGCGGCTGGCTCTGGGTCACGGTGGCGCAGAGAGCCGCCCAAGGCCTGGGTCTCCAAGAAGCAGCCAGCTTCGCCGCCGACCAGGTTGCCGACGCGGCTGCGGCGCAGATGGGCACGGTGGGGACTTTGGGACAAGGGTATAAATTGGTCAAGGACATCATTTAGGCTTTGGGCATTGGGGAGGGAGGAGTGTTGGTCAGGGTCTGCAGGGGATAAGGTGAGGGAATCTTTCTTAGGGTTGCTTTTGAGGTATGGGTTTTATGGACAAGGAAAGGATCAATGGAGATGGACGTATGGCACTGGGATGTAGCAAAGGGTATTATGGATCATGGGAGTAATGAGGTTTACATGCGAAGGGAAGGAAACAGATGTTCTCTGGGGTAATTGAACAATGATGCTTGTCGTTGATTCCCACTCTTGCTCACGAACAAGAAATCCTGTCTTTCATTTTAGCTGGGTGACCCTCCTTTTTCTCTTTCTCCCTTCACCTTGAGTCGACGTACTCGAGCACCTCAAGCACCACCTCAAGTACTCTTCCCCTTCTTGTCCCCATTCAGCTCATCCATACGCATACCGACACCCAGCAAAAACGCGACCCTCAGGGCCCCCACGCCAGCGAGGATGGCCAGATTCGCCCACTCCTGCCCCGTCACCAGACCCCACTCCAGCCGACGCTGCACATCGAGCGACCTCGCCACGGCACCAATAATCGCAACGTCCTGAACCAGGATCGCGCCCTGCAGACACCGCCAGACGAGGACGTCGGCCGGCCGCGCGCGCAGCATCGCGACCTGCAGAAACAGTGTTGAGAGGAGGTATCCCGCGCCGCTGTCGAGGAGGACAGTGGTTTCCGGGGCGGGCGGGATCGTTGCCGACGAGGCGTTGTACAGGCGTAGGATGGTCGAGGGGGCGAAGAGTTGGGTTAGCGCGCCGCTGAGCGCGATGAGCGGGTCGATCGTGCTGAAGAAGACGCGGTAGAGGGGTGGGATTGTCGACATTGTTTTTTTTCCGCACTGGTTCTGGTTCTTTCCCTGGTGATTGGGGGGGGGGGGGACGGGGGCCGGCTAACAAGAGCTGTACTTGGAAAGGGGGTCAGGGATATCAATATCGATTCTGACGCTTTGTTGAGGATGGGCGTCGTGGTCCGCACGGAATGTGTCTCTCTGTCAGTTTGTCTGTCTGTCTGCCAAAGCCAACGACGAGGTTTACAGATCACCACGTTTGAAAAGTACGAGATCTATACCCCTGGGAAGAGAAGAGAAGAGAAGAGAAGAGATGAGATGGGAGGGAGCGCTGAGACAGTCCTCGAATTCAAGACGAGTGACCCACGAACAACTTTTATATCATCCTGACTTTTGCCCGTAAGTTGCTGATGTGGATACTTAATAGTAATATGTACAGCGTCAAAGCGTCCTTGACTGTCTCCGCGCATTCGCCGGACCGTCATCACCGCATAGGTACCGTGCACTGTGCGTCGGGAATCCCTGGCGTGAGGCTGAAACTGCGGCTGAATCCTGGATCCGTGGCTCACTCCTCAACGCGAAGTGGGAGGGAGAGGGGCCGGGGCGGCCTTACGAGCTACTCGTGGATGGATTGATGTCGTTTCCAATACCGGCGCCACGTACGTATATGAATAGAGCTGTTTGTGTGTTTGTGATATGCTTCGCGTATTGACTTCTAACCAAAAAAAAAGAAAAGAAAAAAAGAAGACTGGCGGACGAGGGGAGAGTTCTCTCTCAAACAATGCTAAACAGAGTCTCACAGTATAGACACTCGTCCAGATCACGACAGACACAACGCTTGTTTCATGGCCCTTGCGAGCTCGTCTCGCCGATCAGCGACTCGTCGCCTCTGGCGCCATGCCACAAAGTCATCGGGACGCACCAGGATCGCCCCGCAAGATGAAATCCCAGCAGCAGATTCGAGACGGCCCGGTGGACACAGAAGATCGCCGTTAGGACCGACAATATACGTGACAATCTCGACGGATAGCGCTGCAGACACTTTCCTCGCCGCTTCCACCCACGGAGTGCCATCGCCTCCAGCAAATAATACAAAGGTCGTGCCGCACAGGTCGAGAGTGGAAACGCGTTTGCCCTGGTGCTCGACCCACAAGTGAGGAACCCTCGTTCCAGGTCTCCCGTCTATCGAAAGGAGCAGGCTCGGCCAGGTCCACGGCCTCCACGTCAGACCGCCCAGCGGAGAAGTGTCCTCGGTGCAGATGGCGCGACTTGTATAATAACAGCCGTGCCCGGAAAGCAGACGGAACCCCCTGGCAATGAGTCGAAGCAGCGCAAAGCGGCCCCGTGTTGAGATGATTCCATTCTCATCAGCCATGCTCGCTGAAAACTCCGCAGCCGCCCTCGCCACGGGAATCCGCTCCACATCGTACGTCTCCAGCAAGCGCTCGCTCGCATGCCACCGGAGGATTGCAGCGAGCTTCCAGGCAAGATTGTGGACGTCTGCGATGCCCGTGTTTGCACCTTGGCCTCCCCACGGCGGCATTTGGTGTGCGGCGTCCCCCGCGAGGAAGATACGCCCCTGTTGCAATTGTTCTGCAACCCGCACTGACGGTTTCCATGGAAGGATACTCTTGATATCAATCTCAATATCACCGACGCCCAAAGCGAGGCGTAGCAGCTCTCTGCATTTTTCGGGTGGAAAGTCAGAAGGTTGCTCGCCTTTCGAGGGGTCATAGAGGAGGTGGAATACCCAGCGATCGTCGTTGTTTATGGACGTCAAGAGGCCGGTCACTTCGGGTCGTTCGATCTTGCAAAGAGAAAACTCACGTCCTTGGACAAGATATTTGAGGTCGGCGTGGAAAAGGATATTGAGCAAATGGCCCATCGTACCCCGTCCAGTCGTTGGCACCCCCAGGTGGTTGCGGATCGGACTCTCTGCGCCGTCAGCGGCTATGAGATAGCGTCCTTGCACGGTCACATTGACGCCAGTCTGCCGATCCTTCAAGACGGCAGTAACGCTCTTTTCATCCTGCTCAACACTGACACATTCCGTGTTGAACCTCACATCCACCCCGTGCCCCTTTGCAACGTCCAAAAGAACTGGCTCAATCATGTCTTGGGTGACAAATGTTCCATTCACTGGACTTAGGGGAGCGAGAAACCCAGTCCAGGGAAACTTTCTGAGACCTCCAGAGCGTGGTTTGGGTTCGATGACCTCCTTCAGAGAAGTGCCACGATAGATGCCCCCACTCGGTGACAATGACGCGCCAGCTTCATGGACGAGATCCTCGATTCCAAGCCGACGATAGAGCTCCATGGTTCGTGCATTGACACTGCGCGCCCGGGGATGGATCGACGTCCCTTTGTGGCGCTCAATCACCATGGAATGTATGCCGTGGTAAGCGAGGAAATTCGAGGCAGAGAGGCCTACAATGCCGCCGCCGATGATGATGACGGGGACATTTGTATCAGAGGACATTTTGCAGGATCTTCGAGTCTGGAGAGGTATAAAGCAGGAGGTCTTGTGGTCCTTCTCCGTGTCGCCAGAATGCTGTTGGCAGCTGTGGACTGGGCACCACAAGGGAAAACCACATCTTTATATGGAGGCAATGCATCGGGCAGGAATCAGCGTTGATGGGACATGAAGAGTATAGCTGACAGGCCAATCAGGCTGTGGTGACGACAAGACCATCATTCGACCCTTGAAGACTGTTGTTTGACTTTGGGAGTTTCGTATGTAGGGCCCCGAAGTTTAGAAAACTCGGGCCCGAAATCGTTCCCCGCTGGCGACCTGCTGGCCTCATCTCTCTCGGTTCAATTACTGGCCGTTCAACTCCAAACTGCACACATTTCAGATGCTGTCCTCGACGCAAGACATGGGAATTGACGTCTTTGACCGTGTCTTTGGCCAAGAGCCCGAACCTGCGTCCATGCACGGACAACTCGAAGACTTGAGGTTAGGGGCCGACGAGGCTGCACAAAGGGGCCGGATACAAGATTGTACTCCACCGTAACAATCCGCCGTACAAAGCCTTTCCGTAATAGGTAATTCATCCACCTCGCTGTTGTGTGGAGTAGATTTTTTGCTAGTCCATCGAGTTAGTGTTCAATCTCCAAAAAAAATCTGGAACAGAAGAACAGTCGGCGTAACTCTCTCCCACCCACTGAACATATTCTCTCACCTGCAACCTTTTGTTTTCGGTCCTGCAAATCTCGACCCCAAGATGGCGAAGAAGAGCAAATTACTGGCTGCCCTGGATGCGCACCAAGGGCGAGATTACCAGGCCGAGAAAAGAAAGGCACAGGTGAAGGCGGCCGAGAAGCGGAAAAGACAGAAGCTGGAGACGGCGAAGCAAGGAGACACCGACGAGGAGGACCTGGCAAGAAGCGAGAAGTTGGAAAATGGAGGTACAAAGCCGGCCCAAGGTGACGACTTTGCGGGATTTGCAGACGAGGACAACAAAGCAAACGCAGCTGATCGAGACGACGAGGAAGAGACCGCCAATGCAACAACTAACGGCGGTGTTGCTTCCACGATCCCACAACCAGCCCTAACCATCGACGCCTCAGCCTCGGAAGCGGAGAACGAGTCCGACGTCCCCGTCTCCGACCTCGACGATTCCGATCTCGAAGACACGATCCCCTACCAAAAGATGACCATCAACAACGGCCCTGCGCTGGTGGCCGCCCGCAACCGCATTTCCGTCATAAAAGCCCCCAAATCGACGCCCTTCCACTACCACAACTCCCTGGTGTCGGATCTCCCGCCCACGTCACAGGCCGTCCCGGACCCCAACGACGACCTCACGCGCGAACTCGAATTCTACCGCATCGCCCGCACCGCCGTCGTCTCGGCGCGGGACCTGCTCCGCGCCGAGAAAATCCCCTTCTCCCGTCCGGCGGACTACTTCGCAGAGATGGTCAAGAGCGACGAACACATGGGCCGCGTCAAGCAGAAGATGTACGACGAAGCCGCGAACAAGAAAGCCGCAGAGGAGGCGCGCAAACTGAGAGACGCTAAGAAGTTTGGAAAGGCAGTCCAGGTTGCGAAAGAGCAGGAGAGGGCCAAGGAAAAGAGGACGACGCTCGAGAAGATCAAGGAATTGAAGAGGAGTGAGTCTTGCCCAAACCCGCTCTCCACCCTAACCTTTTTTCCCACCCAGATGGCTTTTGCCGTCAGATCTGTGTGGCTAGGCTACTAACACGATTTTCCGTCCCATAGAACGCAAGGGCGCCGACACCGGCAAAGTCACCGAGGGTAACCTAGACGACGAGCTCTTCCAAAACATCGACGTGGAGAATCCAGCCGCCAAAGATCGGTCGGGCCGTGATCGCGGTGTCGGTAGTGGCCCCAACCCGAAGCGACAAAAGCGCGACCAGAAGTACGGCTTCGGTGGCAAGAAACGGCATGCAAAAAGCGGCGATGCCATCAGCAGCGGGGACATGCGCGGGTTTTCGGCGGCTCGAATGAAAGGCAAGGGCGGCAAGGGCAAGGCAAAAAGGCCTGGCAAGAGCAAGAGGCTGGCTACTCGGTGATGCTTAGCATGAGTCACCATTTGGGAGGAGCCACGACAACAGACAAGACTTGTCACATGAGTTAATTCTCTACAAGAGACACAATGCTATGTCGAAGCACATGGGGGTATCACAATCATACAGACAAACACAGTGCAAAAAACTCCCCAACCAGGCACGGCCACCAGATTCAAAACGCCTTCCCGAAATGCTGCTGCAAGAGCCTTGACCTGCTCTGCTCAGACAACCCATTGTCCCAGGAATGCTTGCAGATGACCCGTCTGATGCTGTCGACCAACTCGCTTGGCCTCTTGGGCAACCAAGTCGAGCATCTCTTGCGCCTCCGGCCCAGGCGGTAGCTCTGGCAACGCGTCGGCACCTAGATGGCCATTGAGCTGTCGACTGGGACTATCTTCGCGACTGGGCCCCGAATCTACTGTGGTTTCTCTCAAACCACTGGGTGGTAGCGGACCAGGTTGTCGTCGAGCTACTGGTGATGAAATGGGAACGTCACTCATCAC